CCAACCGGCCCCCACCCACCACCAGCAGTCACAATGAAGCTGGACTGGCGAGGAGTGACTGGTGTTGCTTATAATTAAGAGCGCAAAGTAATAATATAGAAAAGGGAACTATTACATCGTGCGTCTCCCGTAGCAGAATTGCGTACTGGGAGTTTCTCATCGATGAAGGACGAAGAAGTGTTTTTTAAATAATCCATTAATAATTCATTCATAAATATTAACGTTGCTCCGCTCAGCAGAAAGGTACCTATTAATTTGTGATTTTCCAATCAGGCAGGCCACGTGGTGTATACGATTGCAGTAAATTAATCCACTTTTTCGTTTACTTAAAAGATTGCCCTGCTTCAGATTATGTATCCTCGAAAAGGATTATCTTTTCCCATATTCCTAAAAAATATTCTTGTCCGTTTTGAGTGATTGCAAAGTTTTGGTCGTGGAATCTTATTATCGGGGCTCTAACCTCAAACACTGGCGAAATGTGCGTCTGAAATAAGTGTGAAAACGGCGGCAATCCATCTCCTCTCCCGGGTCAGGAAATATTTGTTAAACGACCTGTTAATCTGACGTATTTTCATCGATCTACTTTTACTGGCCCTGTTAACAGTCATACTGGGACTAATTATACCAAGTGCCTAGCAGAGCTTCAGCACTACACTCTCATTTAATTTGCTTATTTTTCTGTTATGCACTTTTAAAAATAACTTAATTAAATTATAGGTCCAATCTAAATTTATAAAAATCGTTGCAGATATCTATACAGTCTTTGCATAAGTATTGCTAAATAGCGACAGTTCACTACTGCAAAGGATCCCGTTGCCTTCGGAGGCCAGTCTGACATATCTGCCCTTTATTGTGGGGTGACGGGACCAAGATCACTAATGAAGTTGCACGTTTTTTTGCTCGATAAATTAGCCTGCAGCAATAACATGTGAAATCAATGCTCATTACGGGCATTGCTTTTGTGGGACCGATTCCAGGGCTGGCCTGTGTGGGGGATATTGTACACTTAAAAGTATGTGCAATTTGTCCATTTACAATGCAGATTGACTCATGCATAAATATTACAGGCAAATTGACTTATTACTCCCAGTTTGAGCTTTAGCATCAGCGGGGACAGGACTGCCTACCTGTAATCGGAAACAACGCCTTTTATTTATCTGTAATTTGCATCACAACTGCCGTGGAGTAACAATGACTTGCAGCTCATAACCAGATTGGGGTTGAGTCATAGATACCCTGTTCAGTTTATGAAGCAGCTGTTGAATTTCATGCAGCACAAAGGTCACAGACCAAGATGATGAAAGAAAAAATGTCTACATTTCAATTGGAAACGCCTGGTCTGTGACTGGGGGTGGTTCCCATGAGGTGCTGGTGATGGTGGGGGGGTATTGTTTTGGTTGTTAGGATGTTCAGGGTTGTGAGTGTGAAAATGTGTGGTAGCTTCATCATTTTCCGCTTTTGCGCTTAGTAAGCTGTGGCCCCAGAGCGAGCTCCCATACGGTCTTTTGCAGTCCTTTAATTTTCAGGCTGAACTGTACATCCGTCGAGCTGGAAAACTGGTACTTTCTGTCGTATATAGAAGAGAGGTATTATCTGCATGTGCGATTCATGGATACTTGGAGCAGCGATTCCACGGCCCTCTCTGTTTTTACTTTTCAGCAAATTTGAGAGGAACTGCAGAATAAAAGACATAGAAATGGATATCCTTCAGCCAATAGAGGCAATGATAGCATGCATTCACACTATGCATTTACTTGCATTCAGTTGCAAACATTATTTCACATTTGTTCAATAATCTTTGTATTCCTCTGTAATTTACTACCTTGCAGATTTAAGAGGACTTTTTTTTTGTTCCAAAGTACTATTTTCTACCAATTCAACATTTACCATTGTTAGGCATATTTGTCACGTTATAAGGGATGAAGAACTCGGGGGCAGGTGTTGCAGCAATACAAAAGAGGGATTTATTGAACGCAAAGAACAGAGACTGGAAATAAACAGGATGGCGAGGGATCAAAAGACAGGAGGAATGGAACAAGGAAGGGCACAGGCAACAAGATGGTTTGACATCAATATCTCGACTGGGCCTGACAAGACAAACAGATACTTATAGACAAGGACTAACAAGGGGAAACTAGTATCAGGGCCAGGAGAGTCAGGTGGGCAGGACACGACCTGCAAACCATTTTTAAACCATTTATGTAGATTAAATCATTTACTGGTATTAGTGGGAGCCATTTTTCAGGAGGCCATTATTATTGTACTGCGATATATCAGTTTTACTGGTTATTGTTAGCATTAACTGTCATTTGGGAATGTCAAGTAAATCTCACTTAGTTTTGATACTGTGATAAAAGTCATTCAGTGTGCTGCCCCAAAAAAGCTGACTCATAAATAAGGGGGGGGAGCCAGTCCAGTGCTTCAGGTCCTGCTGGCTTTTATAGAAAATTGGTGTTTTTTGAATTCTAGACACGTGTCTGTGGGTTTTCTCCTAGTATTGATCTACACAAAGTCTCTGACACACTTAATATGGAGGCAGTAGAATGATGAGCCAAAAGAATTAGATTTCATATTCGATAATGCGATCAATATGGAATGGATTCCCCAGCAAGGATGCTCTTTCATTCAGTTGGAATGAACTGGGTGCATGATTTGGAGATTCATGACAGATATGTAAAGGGCTGCTTGCACTAGTGTGTAAAGGAAATTAGAGTCATGCGGCATACTTTTAGCACGATGACTAGGAGCTGTTGCTCATTTGTCTTTTAGAAGTTGCACACATTTACTTGTCACGCATGTATGTCATTTTGTGTTTTAATCAATATGGAGCCCTGCCTGTTTTCTCAGGCTCCGGCGATAGTGTCTTTTAGGCTTGTGGGAAGTAGTCAGCCCTGCAACATTAAAATAAACACTCATAAATCAAATTTTTGCTTTAAAAACTGCTCAGTCCATGTACATCTAGAGTGTGATTTCTCAATGGAGACAACACAGGCTTGTACTTGTAACAGATACTGTTATCCAAGGTGATGCACAATTGAGGAACTGGATTGGCCAAACACTCCCTGGAGCAGTTGGGGTTTAAGGGCCCAATGGTGAAATCACTCTGCCAGCCTCAGGATTTGAACCAGCAACCTTCTGGTCACAGTTATGGCAGTTTTCCACTGTCATACTGGAACCAGGTGATACCCAACCCGTATTCCAAAGAGACACTAGTTAAAGTACGGTTCCAGCTTGCTTTGGTTTTCCACTGCAGAAGGGTCAGCTTGGTAATTTCCTCTAACACGCTTGTGAGAATTGCCATGCTATTTTAGCATCACATGCAAGCAGAATTAGCATTAGCTTGCATAAATTTGCATTATGCATCCATTCTGTTCAGCCGTTCTATAGTACATTTTTAAGTAGGTGGTTGGAAATTTTCAGGTTCCAAGTTATTGGGAATGCAACAATACATTGCGATGTGTGATTCTACTGACAATGAATAATATATAGAATATGACTTTTTTTCTTCAGTTAATCCATGCATATCAACCCAGATCACTACTATTTCCATGCATTTTGACCAGCCAGATGATGGTGACTCTACATTAGGGGCCGGTGGGGCCTGGTCCACCAGATATCGTGTGGAGCAGTACACAACATCAAAAATTCAGTGTTACAAATAATATATATTTTTCTTAACTAACATTGCTGCGCATTGTGTGTAGTTTCATTAGTGAGTCGGATGCTGCCCATTCAGAGCTTATTGTGCCCCACCAGGCTTTTCGTGCTAACATGTCACTGGTGACACAATCAGCTGGGTTTGGTCACGCCTCCAGCTCTGCCGCATCAGCGTGGATGTGACTCGCGTACGGCTTGTCTAATTTACAATGGATAACCTCCTCATCGCAGTAAAACTTGGTTCTTGGTGGTAGAAAAGCTACATTAGTATCCTAACCTTATGAGCCACACACTGCCCCCACTTAGAAAGAGATTGGGGGGGGTGGGGGCGTGAATTGGAGGAGGGGAAATCGAAGGTCCACTTTCAAAGGGAGTTGACCTGTCAATACCTCCATGTTGCCAAAGGTCTGCCCTTTCCTCTGCTTAAAAGGGAAATCTCCAATGATGCTGTGCATAATACGTGACACTGAGCCGCTCGCTGGTGACCAGCTCGCCCACTTTCCATTTCCCTAGACGTGTCCCTTCAGCCTGATCTTTCTAACTGGTCCCTGCTGGAATGCAGGTCTCTTTGAAAATATCACTTCCAAATTTCATAGCATTTAATTGGATCATCAGCTGTCAAAGTCAAAGCATGAAGTCCAAACAGATTATTTGTCAGCTGTATACTGCATGCCCTGCACTGCTGAACTGTGTATTAATTTAGCTACAGCACTGAGGGACCAGGGGAAGGGGACACACTTTTACTGACTGGGACGTGTTCACACATTTTTGTCAATTTCATGAACTCATGGCAAATAAATTTCTTTTAATATATTTGTTTTGGTATTATACTCATATTTAATGAAAGGGATGTATATATGCCAGATTAATATCCATCTTGTAATCTGAAGTGAAAATATACACACTGGAAAATGCAATTTGGAGCAGTTGCAGAAGCATTGTGAAAAGTGGCCTTTTTCACTGCATATGTAGGTGCTGTAATGTGTGCATGAGCTGTTCACACTTGATCTAGGTGACATGCAGCCTTATTCAAGGGGCCCAAGTGACCCATCAGCAATCACACCTCTCCCTCCTCCATGACTAGAAAAGTATTCAGTAAAAAAATTTATTTTAGAAACATTTATTGCAAAAATAGAACTTGTTCAAATGCTTGTTTCAAATGCTTACAACACAGTCTCCATAAACATAGTTAATGCAATTGTCTGTACACTGCAAACAAGCAATATTCATGGTGAACACAATTTGTATATATATATCGAT